AAAGCATTCTCGTTATGCCTAACACGTTTTGACTGTAATTCTTTGTCAGAGGAAGCTAAAAACCAAATGCAGAAAAGACAATTAGCCAGTATAACATGAAGGTTATATTCAGATCCTATTGTGCCATTGGAATACATCTGAATATATGCTTCATTATATATGAAAACAACGCTCACAGGATCTCAGCACTGGATTCTGGTCCCCTCTTTCCCCCCCTCCCCAAACACCTGGTTGTGATTTTAGGCTGTGTACACACATAAAGATAAAGGTGAAGGGACCCCTGACCATTAGGTCCAGTCGTGACTGACTCTGGGGTTGCGGCACTCATCTCGCTTTATTGGCCGAGGGATCCAGCGTACAGCTTCTGGGTCAAGTTGCCCATCATGACTAAGCCGCTTCTGGCGAACCAGAGCAGCGCACAGAAACGCCGTTTACCTTCCCGCCGGAGCGGTACCTACTCATCTACTTGCACTTTGACATGCTTTCAAACTGCTAGGTTGGCAGGAGCAGGGACTGAGCAACGGGAGCTCACCCCATCACTGGGATTCGAACCGCCGACCTTCTGATCGGCAAGTCCTAGGCTCTGTGGTTTAAGCCACAGTGCCACTCGCGTCCCGTGTACACACATAGCTTTGCCCAAAGAATCCTATGAACAGTAGTTTACCTTCCACAGACCTATGATTCCCAGTACCCTGAACAAATGACAGTTCCCAGGATTCTTTTTGGGGGGAGGAGCGGATGTGCTTTAAAGGTATAGTGTGCATGCAGACATTTTGCAAGAAAGGGGGTGGGTCAGTGCATACTGCCCTGATTTCTCTGTCCACACTGTGCTGCATCTGAGTTATGATGCGATGCACATTGTCTCCACCCTGTCAGAATACAGGAAGAGCCCAGCTGTTGGATCAGATCAAGGGTCTGTCTTATTCAGCATCCTGCTTCCATCTGTGACTGGCTAGATTGGCCTCCAGGAAGCCCACAAGAAGGACAAAGCATGGAAGCCCTTTTGGGTCAGGCTCAGGCCATGGGCACCAGTCTGGAGCCAAGAACTGGGAGTCAAAAACAAAGAGCAGAACTCAAGAGCAAGGTTATAGATGTAGAAGACATACCAGAGCTAAATTAGGGCTTGTTGCTCAAGCAAATGTTAGTATTTGTACCTTATTTGTTAGAAAAGGTATTTTATAAAGAATAAATTGTATGGGGGAAAAGAAAACATATGTAATGTAATGTAATGTAATGTAATGTAATGTAATGTAATGTAATGTAATGTAGTAAACAGCTGCAAAATCTTGTGACTCCAATTAAGGTCACAGAAATGGTGAGCCATTGCCTTGTTAATTTGTTAACTCCCTTTAAAAGTGTGTGTGTGTGTGTGTGTGTGTGTGTGTGTGTGACTTAGATAGGAGTGGGAGTTGAAAGTTGGCTGGTTATCTTGCCAACATGGGAGTGTGGAAATGACAAGCAGATGCTGTGTCTGGAGGAGTTTGAGAGGGTAGGCAAGCCATGGACTGATAACTTATGCAGTGGTGCTGCGAAGGAGTTTTGGAAGCAAGAAGACCCTCTCTTGGGCTCAAGGGAGAGAAACGCATTGTATTGCATAAATAATACTTCTTCCTAAAATAGTTGCCATCTTGCAAGTAAAGAGTCATCTTCAAAGGCTTGTGTGTGTAGTCTACTTCATCACTAGGGCTTCAAGGGTGAAACCGCTGCATCACTCTGCACGACTCAGAAAAATAGCTCACAGCAAAACTAGCCAATAATAATAATAATAATAATAATAAATTTTATTTATATCCCACCCTCCCCAGGAGACCCTCCTATAACTCTTTCCTGCACTGGAGGAGTTAGTGAACAACCTGGGTGGTTAGAACCAGTCTAGTTCCGAGAGGCTTCAGCAATGTGGTTCACCACATGGGGCAGAGTGCAGCTGTTCCTGACACTTCAATGCAGGGATCTTGCAAAGCCCAAGTTAGCCACCATCCTTCAATCCAGAAATCCAACAACACTCTGGGCAGGTGAAAAACTTGCATATGTTTGATTATGAGCTATGAATGGGCAATGGATGGATTTCAAGAAGTACTGCTAAGGAACCCCTTTCCCCGAAGTGCTGTAAAAGAGAGAGAGAGAGACAGACACCTCTGTCGCAGTCTGATGCAGAGCAAAAGATGGGCCTTGGAGTGGCACACCTGCCTGCAGGTATTTCTGTTGGAACACACACTGAATTGATAGAATGTGACAAGAGCTTGCCTCTCTGGTCCCTTGAAGGCATTGCAGAGCAGCTCTTTCCTTGCGTGTTGGAGAAATGCAAATTCTGTCATAAAGAGTGTCTGGCTATTTGTGGGTTAATGTTCCTGGAGAGCCAGCAGACTTCCAGCAGCGTCTGCGAAGCAGGATGTGTGGGAGCTATTTTAAGATGGCTGTCCTTTGTGCAGTAGCAATGGCTAACTATTATCGTGAACACCGTTGCAGTCCACCGTACCTGGCTGATGTCTTTCCAGGGAAGCTGGAAAATACCCCTTGCCCAAGCACACCGCAAAGAATCCCAGCTGTGAGTTTAAGGAGCGCATGTGAGCACGGCTCCTGTTTCCAAGTCCCTGTAATGCAGAAGGCAGAAAAGTGACACAGCACCACTGGTTTGTGCAGCTCCTTTGCGTTAGGCAAAGAGGGGAGATCTGCAGAAGTTGGCATAAATGATTTTGTGGTCCCTTTCGGCTCACAGAAAGGCAGCATGGGGTGTAAAGGAGTCGCTTAATGTGTGTGTGCGTGCGCAGGGGGAAACGACACATTTTGCAGTTACTGTATTTCAATTTCAAGGCAATAAGAATCTCATTTTCACTCCAAGCTTCTGCCGCAAAAAGACGACGTAAGCTGTGGTGCAGCGGCTTCTCCACTAGATGCCACCATTTAAACAAAAATGTCCTGTAGCTGTCCATGCAGGAGTTTCGGGGCATCTGTAAAGCTGCCGCCACCATGTGTGTATCAGGCAGAGGGTCAGATCCTGCACCCCTTCCATCTCAAGTGGTAGAAGGGTCAGGACATCAAGCACAGGGCATGTAACGATTGTGCTGTGCTATGGGCATGGCGGTGGGTTCCCATGCAGCCCTGTGCCAATGTGCATGCAATATTGTTGTTGTGTGAGAACTATGTAAATGGAGCCTTTGGCCCATAAAAAGCACTCCTGAACTTCTTCATTCCTCATGCGTACATGGGTAGCCATGCTCTAACAGTGGTGGAGAAAGCAAGCTTTCGTCACAATGATGGCTGCTGGATCAACACCTGATTCTCCTTAAGCATTCTGCATATGCCTGAGCACATCCCAAAGGAAGAAAGTCAATGCTGTGTGTTATAAGAAAAAACTGCTCCTTTTCCCTTATGGGGTACCCAAGAACCCATATAGAGTCCTTTTTTAGGTACTCTATCGGTAGGAGAAAATAACAGAGACCAACCAGAGAATATTGAGAAGCAAAGCAGCTAGTAAGCCTGATCTTTATTAAAGCTGTTGCAACACACAGGAGGCAGGAAGAGAACCCCGAACCATGCGTGCAAGCCCTTATATAGACTTTTGAACTGCCCACCCTGGACTCAAGACCACCCCTCATACATCATACATACATCACAGAAGGGGTGTAGCCCAAGACCACCCCTCATACATCATACTTGCATCAAAGAAGGGGCCGACTACAAGAGAAATCTGAGTGCCTTGTTTTTATCCTGTTTGCCAGGTTACCTGATTGGATTACCTGGGCATCCAGGCCACTCTTCTGTTATGATAACTACTCAATGCCTGAATCCAGGTCACAGGCTCACCCTATTCATATCTTAAATGTACCCTTGAGACAGGATTTGTGAGCAAAGAGATGACGGGGAGGCTCCCCATTTTCTTCGACCTTGCAGATAAATATTTGAGGTCAATTTGGAAGAGACAAAATGGTTTCAGGATTTTTCCTGTACTGATTCAGACATGTAGTTTAAATATTTATGATTGTGTTTGCCTGGTACATTTATTTTATATCTTAGACCTTATAATTCTCATAACATTGTGAATTGACCCATAGTAGATATTTGCATGCACCTTGATAAACAAACCAGTTCGTCCGTCCATAATTTGATGTGTGCAATGCATCCTGATAGTTGCTGGGAGGGCGGGGCGGGGGGGCAGGATATATTCATTGTGTGAATCAGTTTCTCCTTTGAATAGAGGATAAACCTTGTATAACTTGCTTGCTTCACCTTTGGAAGAAGGTGCAGGATATAAATTTAATAAATAAATAATCACACCGGAATGTTGGTCAGCTGCTGTGTTCAGTGGCGGCTCTCGGGGTCACAAATTTCAGCTGTGCAATGCCAAAGAATCTGCCACACCCCCCACCTCTCACCTTCCATTCTACATCATAGTTGCAGTGCCCCTGAGACTTGGCACCCAGTGTGACCAAACCACCTCTGCTGTGATCATTGTAATTGCTTACAGGAGGCCAAGAGATGAGAGGCTGAGGTTGCAATTTTAACCGCCACTTAGGTGGGAGCAAGTCCAAATCCCCCCATGCCTTTTTTTAAAAAAAACAACACCAAACTTGTACAGTGGTACCTCAGGTTAAGTACTTAATTCGTTCCGGAGGTCCATTCTTAACCTGAAACTGTTCTTAACCTGAAGCACCACTTTAGCTAATGGGGCCTCCTGCTGCTGCTGCACTACCAGAGCACAATTTCTGTTCTCATCCCGAAGCAAAGTGCTTAACCTGAAGCACTATTTTTGGGTTAGCGGAGTCTGTAACCTGAAGCGTATGTAACCTGAAGCGTATGTAACCTGAAGTGTATGTAACCCAAGGTACCACTGTATTAATTTTCTCCCAGCAAAACATTGCATTTATTAAATTATCACTTACTTCAAGCAGAGCAAGGCTGCTTGAAACGTGCCCCCCCCAATGCTGAATTCGGGGAAATAATTATTTCACCTCTGTTCAGTGGATCAGCAGAAACAGACAATGACTTGAAACTCATTCCTTTTCAACTTTTTATTTATTTCACTCAGTGAAAAAATGAAAAAGAAGGCAGATTCCTTTTGAAACGCAAAACAAGTGGTGTTGAGATGCTGCAAGCGGCTTGTTACAAGAGAAACGTAATCAGGAGAGAGCCAGGAGGAGGAATCCAAATGAGGGAGAGAGAGAAGCAGAAGAATCGTTGGCTTGGGTACATGTTACATTTTTTATTGGAACGGCATTTCCAAAAACACCCTCTTTGTGTGTTTTTAACAGGCCACAGGAAGATTCACTTATGCAGCCCTTCATGTTGTAGTTTATGACATTCTCTTCTGTCGATGTAACAAAACTAACGCAGTAAGTGTCTGACCCAGTACAACCCACCACTTCTGCGGTACACTTTCCTGTGGGAGAAAAGCAGCCCGGGCAAGACTTTCCATTGGGCTTGGTGCTCTGTGGTGGAAACGTAGGAGTGGCTGGCGTGCAGTCAATCTCCTTGCAACAGGTGATGCTTTCCCGCGTGAAATCCCCTTTGCCATGAGTCACCTCGATCAATCCCAATTTGCAGGTCTCGGAGGATGCACAGCTCTTGCTTATTCTTTTGTCTTTTGAACTGGGGACTTCGAGCAGAGAGATGGAACAGGCATCTTGGCCACTGGGACAAGGCCGCTTCGGACCCGTGCAGTTGTTTATTCCCTTGCAATACTCGCATTCCAAAGAGGCGCCTGTAGATAGAAGCACAGAGATCAGGAAAAAATCCAGGAGAGTGTTCATGGTAAGGGCGCAGAGAGAGACCTAAGTGTTTTAACCACCACAGGGAAGCAAATGTGGGAGCCTGGAGCACCTCAGCTGGCTTTGCAGAGGTGAAGCAGGCCTCACTGCTATGTGGGCTGGAGGGCAGGGAGCAAGCCCCCTTGAACTCAGTAGGTTTTACTTCCGAAGTAGCCCTTCTTAGGATTGCACTGTGTGAAAGCACCTCTGTGCATTTAATGGACATGCAACATGGAGAAAGGACATCAGTAAGAGAGCCAGGAACAAACCATGGCTTCAGATCCTGGCTATGTTCTGAAGCCATAGTTGAAACAAGCTACAGTTCTGTAAGTTCAAATGTCCCAGGGATACAGGGAAGAGACGAAGAGAGCAGCATGCAAGCCGGAGGGTTATTCTCATAGATGGAAACCATGGTCATTACTTTAAAACTAATACTATGCCAGTATGCTCAGACAAACTTAAGAGTTCACATTTATGGGGTCTTCTGCCCATTGCCAGCAAAGGTTACCTTTGATTGAAACCTCATGTCCTTGCGGATGTTATCCATGGGACCATTTAATCTATCCCTTGCTAATGAGCTCTTTTCCTCCTCTCTGTTTTGCCTCATGGGTGACCCCCAAATCTACTTTACCACCTTCCTGCCTTCCTGGAAGTGGGGGGGGGGTCAACCGCTCTCTCTCTAGGTCATTTAACAGATCACAGCTACTCTCCAATGAGAGATGTCTGATTGTTTATTCCAAGTTGCATGACCTATCTGAGCTTTGGTAAAATGAAACTGGGAGGAGAGCCTGCCCCAGAAATAGCAGAGAGCCCTATGACTGGTAAATCCCCCAGCAGCCATCAAACCATAGAAGAAGTTTTTTGTTTAACTTCTGTGTTCAATTACAACATGAGGTTTATTGGAGTGAGCTGTGAAAGAAGCAGCGTCATTGAGTTTGGGGAGGATGGCACTCATTTGCAGATTACCTTGTTAATAGTTATTAGTTAAAATAGGCTACTGCTTGGTGAGCCTGCTGTATAGCTAATGTTGGGGAACCAGGCTGAAGGTCCTCCTCAATTTCCCTTCTGCTTTTCTACACCCCTCTTCATAGTAGCTGGTACTGAATGCTGTTGAATGCTCAGGTAACCTGATCCCAACTCACTGGCTGCAGAGTAGAGTGGTTTAGAGGGGAAAATGTTCATTTTGGGCAACATTTCAGCTCAGTATGTAGGAAAGGTAAATGTGTTCTGTATTGGACCCATTATTTATTTTTTACATTTCTCCATGTCAAATGTCATTAGTCCTTTGGTGCCTGAAACCCATAGTAGCAACTCTTTGGGTCTGGAATCTATAAAGCAAGTGTGGTCCACCAGAGGTTGTTTGGCTGCAAATTGCATCACTCTTAGAACTGGCCATGCTGCCTGGGGCTAGTGAGAATCAAAGCCCTGTATCTGGAGGGCCACAGATCCCCCCCACCCCTATGATGAAGATGATGATGATGATTACAGCTCCTTAGCTAGAACACACCCATTGAAATCAATATACTTCTGCATATGACTTAACAGTGGGTACCACCCTAGGAGTCAATTCTGGTCTAGAAAACAGCACAATATTTGGGGTTTGATGGTTCAGGTAAGGCAGCCTTAGCCATGCTAGTAACACCCCCTCCCTCCGATGCTTGAACTCCCAGCTTCCATCAGCCCCAGTCAGCATGGCCAATGTTCAGGAATTTTGGGAGTTGTATTTCGAAACATCTGCAGGGGTACCAGCTTGGAAAAGTCTGGTATAAGGGACTCTCTAAGGATGTCACTGAAATTCTACAGCGCTGACCTTATTCATCAGAATTTACCAGTTTGGAATTAATCAGTTAATTGACCGGTTTGTTGGTTGCATCCTTGAATGCTTTGGTTGCAGTTCTACTGAAAGTTTCCTAAGGAGCAAAATCATACCTGCATTTTTGGCCAGCATGTTCTGTGTGACACTTAAGGATCCGTCATGTGGCTCAGGTGTAATCTCCAGGAGTTCGCAAAGCAGGGCATAAATATTCACACTTTCAAAAGGATCCACCTCCAGACCTTTCTTAAAGGCTGGTCCCACAGCTCGGAATATAGTCTTCATGTTCATAACCTCATTGTCAAATCCATGTTCGCCTTTATTGAATTGCACTTTGATTCTCTGAAAAGGAAGGACAGGGCATAACCTACTGCACGTTTTGCCTTGGTACTTCCCCAGCTTTCCTATGCGGTAACAAAGCAACGAAGCAGCACATTCTTCATCTGTTGTGCTGTATATCAGGGCCAGCCCTACCATTAGGCACAGTGGCTAGTACAAAAGTGAGCTATTTGAAATGTGCCTTGTGTTCCCTAAGCTAGCTTCGCAGTAATTGATAAATGAACTTCAAAACTGAGAGCTTTATATTTCCTGAACAAACATGCATACTACCTGGTTGCTATAACCCAGTGTATTGTTTTGCAATTAAAAGTGCCTCTATACAACCTAAGAGCACAACCTCTGGCTGTGCAGTCCATGTACATGGCAGATAAGAGACAGATTTCTGTTTGTCTCTATACACCTGTAAGGATACAAAGCAAGGTCTTGTTTGAAGAGTGAGTCTGCAATCATAACCTCTAAGGAAGAATCGTGATGGAACACAGCCAGGGCTTACTCCTGGCTAAACATGCATGAGATTGTGCTGCGAGGCTGCAGTTCTTTGCAGGCTTATGGGAAGTGCACCCACTGAACAAAGTGACACTTGCTTCTGAGTGTGTATGTATGCATGGGAATGGGCTGTAAGTGTCCATAAGCAAAAGCTGTTAATTACTGGGCAAAATTGTTTCTCTGAATGAGACAGGAAGCTCTCTCAATGAGACACTTCCTTAGTAAAGTCCTAAGTATCCATAATGTAACAACTGCAAAAATCAGGATGACATAAAATAAAAGCATGAGGTCATCCATATGAACTCTGATATTCAAAATAGGTTGGATCTACATTGACCTTTTTAATGTTTTTAGAACAATATTAGCTATATCCTTCTAAAACGTCACAGGGCATACTGCTAAAAAAAGTTCATTACCTCCGCAGTTGCCCTTACTGCTTGTTCATGGTTGCTCTGCAGCGCCTTCTGGTGTCACATTTTAATAATGCATTGTTAATGTTCTAAGCAACACGCAACATATTGCTTACATTTTTGAAATTATTTCCTTAACCCTTTCTTAATGTTATAAACCATGAGTGTAGATCCGTTCATAGCCTCTCCTGGATTCTAACACTTGTGATAACTTGCTAGTTCCTGAGTCCACTAGGAAATCCACTGTAATAAATATAACATAAAATGTACTTTAACTTGATCTGTTTGAGAGATGGTTGAAGTTAAGGGTGTGTGTGTGTGTGTGTGTGTGTGTGTGTGTGTATACAAACATGTTAAACATTTACTATAACTAAATTGTTAAAAATCTGGTTTAAGCAAAATTTCTAATATAAACCCAATTTTAAAAATGTATTGAACCCATCTGGTTCTGTGTAAATGCTACGTGAAACAGTCAACCTGTCATGTTTACATCAATACCTCCACTAGAAACAAAACAGGGGGGCATAAATATTGACGGAATATCACCATAATTAACCACTAGGCTATGTTATGTTGCAAAGGCTCTCATATTGCTCAGCTGGATCCATATTCCCGATTCAAGGTTTCCCACAAGAACCAGGATTTCAAAATTAGCCCTTTCTTTCAGATTCCTTTGTCAACAGAATGGATTTGGGGAGCTTACGATAGGAGATGGGAACATATAAATTACAGGAGCAGAGCTCAGTTCAAAGGCACCCTTAGGTGGCGGCCATAGAAGTGGCAACCCTCTTCCTACTCTTGTCTTTCTTCAGAAGGAAAGGCAGCATGAGAAAAGTGAGGCCAAGGAAGGTCACTTCTGGTGACTCCACCACCACATCTCACTAGGTGGACAGGATGCATCCATGCTTGTTCGGTGGGAATGGAAAGCAAGGATTACAAGCTGACAGAAACAGAGAACTGTTTTGCCAGAATGCACAAAGGGACAGCATCTTCTACTACTAGGACTGGCTCTGCCAGGCAGCAGGGTGAAGTGACTGCTTTAGGCAGCACCATCAAGGAGATAAAAGAAGACAGGGATTGCTGTCAAACTAGACTTTTTCAAGTGTTGGCCCTTGCAGTGGTGGATTTAGGGGAACGTGACTGGTTTGCCTGCACTTATGCTGCAGGGGGTGCTGCAACAATGATGTAGAATGGAAGACAGGGAGTGGGGATGCCAAATTTTAGCGTCACACAGGTCGCCACTGAAATCTGAAAGCCCAAAGTCTGCCAGTGTGGGAAGGTGCTATTTGGACTCCAATTCAGGCACCGAAACATCACTGTCTGTGCTTCCCCCTGCCCTCCTAAGTAGACTTCCATTCCGTTTCTCATGCACAAAACAGAAGACCGAATAAGGAAAGAAAAGAGATGAGCTGGAAGTACAGTGGATAAGACCATACATACCCCGTGGATCACGTAGCCGGGGTCACCGTACAGCACAAGAGGCGTGATCCGTGTGTTGTTGGCATAACGAAACCTCCTGGGGAATTCCTCCTTCTTGTAGACATGGAGCTTGGGGTGAGCATTTTTCAGGGCTTCATAAACTTGTTCTAGTTTCCCTGGCTTTGGTTCTAGGAGACCATGTGGCCCATAGTCTACCAGCTCAAACTTAATGTCCTGGAAAGAGAAGTTCTGCACTTTCTGAAGGTGGATTTCATCCGTTTTTATCACCGTTTCCATGCCGTGGTCAGATGTGATGATCATGTTGAGGTTTGAGCTCAGGCCTGTCTCCTCAAGGCGCTGCCTCAAGTAACCCACCGTCCGGTCCACCTGGCTGACCATGTCTTTCCTCTCCTGGGATTCTGGGCCATATTTGTGTCCAGTGGAGTCGGGCTCACCAAAGTAAAGGGCGACGAAGTCAAGGTTTTCCTCGAGGAACCACTTCATGACTATGTCAATGTTCTGCCTCCACTCGGTCTCGTTGTTGTACTTGTGAAAGAGTTTCTCCACCCTCTTCACCATCACCTGCTCTCCATGGTAGGTGGCGTTTCCCCCAGGGAAAAAGAGGGAGGCTGTCTTCAAACCCTAGGATGAAAAACCACAGACCTAGAAACTGGCACAATAATAGATCCGAACTGCATATGATGCAAACACAGGTTCTCTGGCCTTGGGTGCACAGTTGGGCATCCTAAATCTTTAGCCCTCAAGATTGCAGAGAAAGCCTTGGAAATGCATTGCCAGTAGTATAGGTAAAGGTACCCCTGCCCGTACGGGCCAGTCGTGTCCGACTCTAGGGTTGTGCGCTCATCTCACTTAAGAGGCCGGGAGCCAGCGCTGTCCGCAGACACTTCCGGGTCACGTGGCCAGCGTAACGAAGCTGCTCTGGCGAGCCAGCACCAGCACAGCACACGGAAACGCCGTTTACCTTCCCACTATAAAGCGGTACCTATTTATCTACTTGCACTTAGGGGTGCTTTCGAACTGCTAGGTGGTCAGGAGCTGGGACCGAAAGACGGGAGCTCACCCCACCGTGGGGATTCGAACCGCCGACCATACGATCGGCAAGTCCTAGGGACTGAGGTTTTACCCACGGTGCCACCCGCGTCCCCTAGTAGTATAGGGCGAACCCTCAAAAGCCAGCACAAAGCTGGGCAGCTCAGGGCTTGCCAGAGCATCCAGCGATGCAGGTGGATGAGGCTTAAGTGCCTCTGTAAAGCTCTTCCTTTCCGCCCATGCATCTGTTTGTCTGCTAAGCAAAGCAGAAACAAATATTTATTATTCATTCATTCATTAAATAAAACCATATGAGGAAAGGAACTCATAACTGCATGCAATGTCAGTTTGGGTCCTTTATTGGGGTGATCCGTGGGTGTGTGTATGTCTGCATGCAGCAGAAGGAAAGTGTTGCACTAGGATTAGGGCAGTCCAGTCCCCATCAGGGAAATGAACAGGAAGACCCTCAAATTCAGCTGGGCTGGCTGGCCAGATTTTGAAGTAGGTGAAGTAATAGGCATCACCATCTAAAGAAGAGACCCCCTGTGAAACCATCAAGTCCAGAGTGCACCTTTTTGGAGAGGCCCATAGATCCTGCCCCAACACACGGTGGCTTGGCTTCCACCGGGAGATGATTCAAAGGAAGGCATCTATATGTCATATTGCGTCTCTGGTTACCGAGCACAAAGATATACAGCGGTTCTCCCGAGATTTCTTGCCATATGTGTGGCCTCTGTCATCGTGATGTGTGCTTTGGTAGCCATAATCACAGAGAGGCCAGTTCCTGACATCCATCACTTTGCCATCCTGCTACATGATGGGGGCTCATCTGATGTCCAGCTCCTTGGGGGGAGGCCCTTCAACAAAAGGTCCAATATTTCTACCCCTTGAGGGAAGGCCCTTCAGTAGAAACATCTCTGACAACCTTTCTCCAAGTCTTCTGGCCGTGGTAATGAATTCCTAAAAACTTCTTCAACGGGCTGATTCTCCAATTAATTTTAAGATAGTAGTTTTAGGACAGGGTTGGGGGAACCTGTGACCCTTCTCAGTGTTTCCCAAACTTGGGTCTCCAGCTGTTGTTTTTTTTTTGGACTACAACCCCTGTCATCACTAGCTAGCAGGACCAGTGGTCAGGGATGATGGGAATTGTAGTCCGAAAGCAGCTGGAGACCCAAGTTTGAGAAACACGACTTCAGGTGTTGCTGGGCTCCCTCTCCCAACAGCCCCAGCCAGCCTGGCCACTGAGAACAAAGCCTGGAGGGCACCAGCTTCCCCCCATCCCTACTTAAGAAAAACCTGTGACATTACCAATGTCTGTGAAGATGGTGTGTGCCTGGATGCTTTAGTTAGCAAGACCAGGGATGGGCTCGATGAAAATGATGCAGAGGAAGATGCAAAACTAACTTCATGAGAATGTGGAGCTTGTTGGTCTGTCTGTCTGTCTGTCTGTCTGTCTGTCTGTCTGTCTGTCTCTCTGTTTCTTTCAGTGGCAAGTCCCAGAAGAGGGCCCCCATTTTGTTCCCTAGAAGTATTGTGGGTTTATGGCTTACCTGCCTTTGTGCTGTGATCCAGATGGGGAGGCTGCCATTATCCCACCACTCAGACTTCCCTTGTGTGTTGTAATAAGGAAGCTTCTGTCCGGTGCTGACATTGAACCACATGTTGTGAACCACACCATGGTTCTCAATGTACTTTCCTGCCAGGGGAGAGTCAAACTTGGCATTAGTTACAAGCTGTCTGCTAGTAGGAGTGGGTGGGTGCATCTCCATTTGCCGTACTTGCTGGACTCTGGGAACTCACCCCCAGGGGCCACTGAGTCAGAGTCCCTTCCATAAGAACATTAAGAAGAGCCTGCTGGATCAGGCCAATGGCCCACCTAGTCCAGCATCCTGTCTGGCAACTAGATGCTTGTGAGAAACCTGCAAGCAGGATTTGAGCACTAGAGCACTCCCACCTCCTGTGGTTTCCAGCAACTTCCATTACTGAAGACTGCTGTAGGCCCAAACATTCAGAGCCCTCAGCTGCAGACCAGTCAAGTCTTTGCAAATGGTAGGATCTTCCCAAGTTAGCCCTTGAACTTTGCAGACTCTGATGGACTCCCTGTCTTCTAATTGGCAGGATACTGGTGCAGAACCTTCTTGGGGCAGATCAGCCTCAATTCTAGATATTCTTCCAGTAGACTGTTGCCAGCATGAAATTGCTATGTGCCCCTCTTCTCAGGCTCATTTTGCTCTGTTTCCCCTGCTTATGTTTCTTCTTTGTCCTCTGCTATGGGCCAACTGCTATCTCACCTATGCCTGTTCCGGCATCACAGTTACCCCACCTTGGAAACTGATGCCAAATAATTCCCATGGATGTGGCTTAGTTGCCACCCTTGGATCCACATGCCAGTGTGTCACTGATGGTTGACCTGGCTCTTGAGAATCCAGCACAGCAAGGAGTCTAGGAAGGTGATGCTGTTTTGGACTTCAATTCTTATCAGCCCATGTCACAGGTTTTGCCCTTCACATTTTTAGCCTTAAACAACTTGGGGCCAGGTCTCAGGTGGGGCAGTGCTAAGAGTAATGCATGCCCAAGAGGTTTGCTTAAAATGCACCCAAAACTGAGCCTTTAGCATTACAGCTCCTGTCCTTAAAGAGCTGCCATTTCTGCTTCCTAGGGCCCCACTGTCCTGTCCTCATCTCTCCCAAGTGACCGGGCACTCACCTGTAAGCAGAGTGAAGTGGCAAGGGCTCGTCTGGGTGACAAAGGGAGGTGTGATGTAGCGGGCCTTCACCCCATCATAAGCCATGGCATCCAAATTGGGGGTGTCCACATCCTGGTCATAATTCCACCGAAAACCATCGAAGGAAACCAAAAGGAGCTTGCTGCGGTTGCTTGCCCTTTGCAAAGGGGCACAAGTTCCTAGAGCAAGGAGGGTAGCCACCAAGCCCAAGGAAACAAACATCTTTCCAGGAAGGCAAGAGAGAGAGAGAGCAGGGAGAGAGTAAACATAGGGAAGGCACGGATTATATATGCATGGCAGGGTCTCAAGTTCACAGCTCTATCTGATCCACCTTTCTACACTTGGCTTGGGAACAAGTTCCTGCTGGGGTTCAAACTGTTTGTCAGCTTAATGCACAGTCAGCTTAATGTTGTTTTGTGCGTGTGCATGGATACATGTGTGCATTGAACATGAGGAATTTGATGATAGTTCAGGCTTTATTTCTCTCCTCCCCCACTCGACTCTCAGCACTGGTTATTTTCTGTAATAGGGCATGAACTGTCTTGCCATCAGTCCTGGAAGACATGCAAGTTAGTGTGGCTGGATGGGGAATGGAAAGAACAGTAGAGTCAGCTGTGGCGGAGGACTTCTGGCAAGGCAAGATGGTGAGCGCCACGGCCTCGTCGAACTCCTAGGGACCGCCAGCACCAACCAAGCTGCCTCCTGGTCCCTGGTCCCTAGCTTCTGGCTTAGCCCCTCAGTCCCTTCCCCCACCTCCCGGAAAAGCCCCCAAGAGCCGCACACATGCTCCACACAGCTCATGAAAGGGAGCGCTGAGCAGAGCCTGGGATGCATACAGAGACTGCTCAGCACTCCCTTTAAAGAATATTTTTTTCCTTGCATTCCCCCTCTAAATACTAGGTGCGTCTTATGGTCAGGTGCGTCTTATGGAGCAAAATATACGGTAAGTGGTATTTCCTTAAGAGAAGAGGCCAGAGAAGCATCAGTGCCATAGGCCTGTGACAAAAACAGCTGCCAGCAATCATTGACAAGCTGCATCTTTTCAATCTCAATCATCCATTCCCCAATGCCTCTCCAAAGCTGTTCATACAGGGTGGGAGGAAAGGGGAAAAGATAATTAAAAAGGAAAGTATTAAAATTCATCAAAATGGGGCAATCTAAAGTGCGAGCAGGCATAACTAAATGAAATAGATAATATACCATCACCAAGAAGCTGAAATACGAAAAAAATCTCTCTGTATCCCTCTTTCTGTACTCTGCTTCTCCAGTTCTCCAGCCTGAAGATACCTGGTTCCACACATTTCTCTTCTGCTGCCCTCTGGTGTACGGAGCTCCTTCCATGAACATATATGCTGATCTGAACATGCATGTTGCAATGTCCCTCTCTTCCTTCCTGGCCTTCTGTAAATTCTCCCTTGCTGCCCCCAGCACATAGAGCTCCTTCCTTGCACATGTATGTTGATCAGTGCTCTCTCTCCCCCCACCCCCCACTTTCTACTTTTCCAGACCACCTCTGTCGTTTTGGGTCTGCTCCCTTAATCCCAGCTGCAACCAAGTTTGGAGCACATGTAATAGCGTTTGTCCAGGTCCCTCCCTCCCAACCCTTGTCTCTCCTTCACCTCCTTCTGTTGTTCTCCCAATTGCACTTCCAATGATAGAGCTGGATCGAGGAGCACCAGCTCCTTCAGGGAGAGTGTGGCTCCAACCAGGGCTGGCAATTTACTGACTTGGATGTTTATTGATAGCACTGCATAAGTCAGCATTTCTCAAACTGTGTTCCTGAAAACCTGGGGGTTCCAAAGGTTAAATCAATAGTGCATGGCAGAATGGCACAGGCAAGGACAGTCACTTGGTGTCCTCATGCTGCTGGTCACTGAGAGGTGGAAGGACAAGGCAGCTGAGTGCAATGTGGCCACATCAGCAGAGCCCATCTGCTCCTCCTCAATGCCTCCTGGTAACTGGGTGCAACACACCCTTTACTGGTGTCCTGTAAGCAATGGTGTCCTGCTTGCACCACCCCTTTACTGGGTTGAACAGGCTGTTCAACAGGGCCTGTCCGCCCATCAGGCAAGGTGAGGTGGCTGCTACAGGCGGCAGGATCCAGAGGGGCGGCAGATCCAGCCTCCAAGGAGCGCATAACCCACAGCTGTTGGTGGAAGGGGAGCTGCTGGAGGAAGAGTGGGCAAAAACTTGGAGTGACAAGGCAAAGCGGAGGGAAGAGACTTGGCACCGCACAGCTGTGCAGCAGCAGCAGCCTGGAGACTTTGCAGACAGCAGCCACCCTACCATGTCTCCCCATAATCCTGACACTAGGGATTCTCCAGGGTGGCCACTATAGTGCTGTGGTGCACCTGCATATTGTGGTAGGAGGGGCTTGGGAAGGAGCACAATGCATTATGCCTCAGGCAGCAAAATCTCCTGGCCCAGCCCTGGTGTTCTAGCACTTGTTATGGGAATCCTTTCTATCAAGTTGCACCCTGGTGGCTAGGGTTAGGTGTGTTGCTCCTTTAATGCTAACAGAGAGATAAGAGCTGAAGCCTTAAGGGTGGCAGGCTTCTACCCTTAAGGGAAATGAAGAGATTGACAGCAAGGTTTTTTGAAGTCTCCAAGTTGCCACTCTCTCTGGCTCTTTCTTGCTTGCTTTCCCCAATAATCAACGCCTACCCCACTTGTAAAAAAATATTTTTTTCTGCAAGGGTTCTGCTGAAGTTATGCTTAAAATGAAGGGTTCTGTCACCACAAAAAGGCTGAGAACCATTGATGTAAGTAATAAGTACTGATATTTACTTACACAATTCATATTTCAACCAATAACAAAAGTTTTCTGACTGGCTTCTGAAACAGTAACAACAATATCATAAAAGAAACAAAACTCTGCCAACTCAAAAACAAAGTAAAGAAATACAACCACAGAACCACATCACTTTAAGAGAGCAGGAGCTTGAAACCCCCCAGAACCAAGGAATAGGAAGTCCACGTTATCATTTTAAAAGCTGGAGAAAATCAAAACACCATTGCCTGCCACTGAAAATACATTAGAGAAGGAGTAAGGTGCAGGAGAAGGGATGCAGGTGGCACTGTGGGTTAAACCACAGAGCCTAGGACTTGCCAATCAGAAGGTCACGGTTCAAATCCCCACGACGGGGTGAGCTCCCGTTGCTCGGTCCCTGCTCCTGCCAACCTAGCAGTTCGAAAGCACGTCAAAGTGCAAGTCGATAAATAGGTACCGCTCTGGTGGGAAGGTAAACGGCGTTTCCGTGCACTGCTCTGGTTCGCCAGAAGCGGCTTAGTAATGCTGGCCACATGACCCAGAAGCTGTATGCCGGCTCCCTCGGCCAATAAAGCAAGATGAGTGCCGCAATCCCAGAGTCGGCCATGACTGGACCTAATGGTCAGGGGTCCCTTTACCTTTAAGGTGCAGGAGTGCCAACTTGGCCCCACGACTGTGGGTGCCCAGGGTCATGAGTGCCATGCAGCGTGCATGGCCCTGGCACTGAAATTTGTGGGTGTCCGGCCCCTTCATGGAGAATTTTGTGGGTGCTTGGGCATCCAGGGCGCCAGGGAGTTGGCACCTATGGCCAGGTGTGCTTTGTTGGGAAGGGTATTCCACAACTGGGCAGCGGGGAGGGGGGCACTGCTATGAAAAAGGGCCTTAGTTCTCATGAAAACACAAGCCAACATCAACAAATATAATTAATAGTTAACAAAAGCTTCAGGCTGGTTTAAGCACTTTTATTCTCCACGGGTCTCAGTGGGAAAAGCTGTGTGGCTCCACCCAGAGGTCTGGAGATGGAGACACTCCCCTCCTCCTTTCAAACACAAAGTTCATCAGAACAACCAGCTGTATTCTGCACTCCCTGAATCTTCACAAGATTCTGCAGGCTGCTAGAGAGAGGATTAGGGGGAAGCCCTTTGACTTAGCCCCTTCTAATGTACATGCTCATTAGCAGCCCAGATCCTCAGGATAGGGTGATACATCAGGATAGATGTATCAACATCTAGAATAAAGGAAATGCACTATTTATTTGTTGGACTTGTCCTTCCTTAGAGGAGCTCTGAGCAGCCTACATATGGTCCCCTGCAGTGAGATCTGCTTAGCTTCATTGCCTCACCTCCTTGGCATAATGCCTGTCTCTACCCTCTGTGTTCTTGTGAGTAGAGTCACCTGCAGCAGAGATGTGCAGGGCAGAAAGAGAAGCAGTCTCTCTTGTATCACATTGTAAGGGGTATCTCACTGGTTGTGCCTTTTGCCACTGCACTGTCTTTCAGCTCTTATTTTGCCAAGTTATCTACACATCACTTTGTGCTGGCTTGCTGTTGTTGCACAATGCAAATTTGTGAAAGTGTTTTGCTATACTGATCCTTCCTGTAGCCCATGGAATCCTGCCTTGAGGACCATTTATTCAGGTGCCCCCCGCCCTAATTTGCTTCTGATGTTTCCACCCTCTCAGCACATCCATGTAACAGCCACTGCAAAACTCTTCCACATGGTGGTGCTCCATGCAGGAGCTATGATGTTTGAAAACTGACCTCCATGTAGATACCCACAACTGCATACAAAGCCTTCATGTCAGTGGCAGCAGCCACCAATAATATATCCCAGTGGCCTAGAGATTCTCCTTGCAGTATCCCAGCAACGAGCCATTTCCAGGGCATCATTCACACATGCAGGTTCGTCACTAGATGGATTTAGCATCATGTGATGACTTGCATGTGCAAATGACAGGCTGAATCCTTTGGCATCTTCACACATGACCTCTGGCTCGAGGCTTTTCAATGGAGTCAGTTTACGCATTTGGTGACGAACATAGAAGAATCGTGGGATGTTGTGTAGGGGTTGTCAGGAGTTCAGCCTACACTTGAGTGGGACCCTGGCAGAGACACATGCTCGACTGGCATGTTCTCTCCCTCCTGGTCTTTTTTTCGGGAGCTTCAAAAGCTTTCTTCAGCCCGAACATCACAGCGACCGATGCCAACTGACACTGGCACACTTAGGGATCCGCAGAGTTTGCACAACTTGCGCAACAGACCTCAGCAACTCAGCATTTTGGCTAATCTACTTTATTTACATATAAACACACACGGAGCACTGCAACATGGCTCCCTCTCTCTCTAGCATCAGACAGCAAAGAGAAAAAGAACAAAGGACAATAGTCCCACTTCACGGAACACAGTAACACAAACATCCTGTCTCCGTCACTTCCCACTCTGTGGAGTCAAAACAGAGACAAAAATCCCATGACTGCAATCACGGAGCAGGAATTCTAAC